ACAGGACAGGACAGGACAGGACAGGACAGGACAGGACAGGACAGGACTAAGAGAGAGAGAGAGAGAGACAGAGACCGAGACCGAGACCGAGAGAGAGAGAGAGAGAGACAGAGACAGAGACAGAGACAGAGACAGAGACAGAGACAGAGAGAGACACAGAGAGAGAGAGAGAGAGACAGAGAGAGAGAGAGAGACAGAGAGAGAGAGAGAAAGATAGACAGAGAGAGAAAGAGAAAAAGATAGACAGAGAGAGAGAAAGAGAGAAAGATAGACAGAGAGAGAAAGAGAGAAAGATAGACAGAGAGAGAAAGAGAGAAAGATAGACAGAGAGAGAGGGAGAGAGACAGAGTGTGTGTGGCCACTCCGCGCGACACCACGAGGCAATTTATATTTTCAGAAGATTTAGCGAGGCTCATCGTTTGGGTGCTTCGTGAGTACAAGGCACGGAGGTGCAGTGTAGGGATATGCGCAGAGATGCGCGCATGGGTTAGTCATTTGGTGGCCATCCATGAGGCAGCCCGTACCTGGAAGTGCAGTGTAGGCTTTATTGTGAATGACGAAGATTTGTGACCAAATCTCTTCCGACTTTCCTGATCAACCTGAGGAGATCGAGCCCATTATCCTTAGTGTGGGTGAGGAAGATGAGGTTTCCATCAGCAGCTTGACTGGAGAGTGTTCTTGAGCCTTAAAGGGCTGATGGATCAAGAGATTCTGATTCAGGTGACGTTGCCAAGATGATTTGCAGCGCGATGGACTTCAAGGGACAGTTGATCAATGACACCACCAAAGCAGACGGGCAATTCAAGAAGACTGCATCAAATAAGAAGCTCAGGACCTACAAGCCAGACTTCAAGTTCACTCCGATACAGGAAGGAATCAAGCAGGCAGTGGACTGGTTTGTTGAGAACTACAGCGTTGCCCGCAAATGACTTCTGAACCCATTGGACGTTAGAGCGCGCTGTTGGCAGCTGGAACGCAAAAGTTCCAGAGGCACAGGCGACTGCCAAGAAAATGAAGAGACTGCATTTTGTTCCATGCCTATGGTCAAAAGTGATGCTGGAGGCATCGTTATTGGGTGAGGTCCCCTACCAACAAAGTTGCAAGTACATATAATAAGTAATGTATAATGTATAACATACACACACACATACATATAATATATATATATATACTCTCTCTCTATATATATATGTATACTATATATGCATATGCGTTTGAACAAATACACATACTCATCATGAATGCACATATCGTAGTTGTCATCATCCTTCTGCGGTTGAGTGGATAAGCATCCGCATCTCGAGTTTTCCCAGCTTTGAGTACCGTTGGCCCAGCATTTTTGCAATGAGGCGTGGAATAGGCGAGGAAGCTGGCTGTTGGACGGTAAAGCTCTTGGGTGGAGACCAAGTCACTGGTCACCTGTGTGAAGAGAGCTGAGCAAATGAGATTGTTAGCCTTATTCATATAGAAAATCATGATTGTTTTCCCCTCCTCAAGGACCTACCGTTCTTGCTTGCGTAGTATGGTATTGCAAACTCTTGTAGCCAGGAACCATTATCAGGCTGGTGCGATGAAGCTCGTCATTGTGGGTGCTTGCCTCAGGGATTGTTGAACACTGCCACAACGCCCAGGGTTCACTTGGCAGTGTTCTGCTTGGATAGCCAAAAACACCAGAGTCCATACCTTTCACGCAAGGCTTTTTCAAGGGTGTTCAATTGGGATGCCATCAGGTAAGGAACCATTGGAGGAACTGGAAAAGATTGCTATCTCACGCTTTGAGAAGGTGAGACTTGGCCAGGGGCAGGAGACCCATGCTTCTCAAGCCTTCCACTCGATCAGAGGAATGGCCGAATTTGAATGGAGCTGGCGCTGCTATGTAGACTCTAGATCATCTCTATGCTTGAAAGTGGTCATTCAATGCAGATTCATTTGCATCATTGAGATCCACTTTGCAGGTTTGAGTCCATGATAGTCCTTAATTGGAAGGAGCAAAGCTATCCGAGCAGACCTTGGCCCATGAACCAAGTGGGCTCCTAGCTTAGGGCTCTACACCTACCTACGGCTACATGGTGGCATCGGGTCACCTGAGCTTCCTGAGGTCGTGTTGTGAAGGGTGTACCGCTCAAGGAGGCGAAACAACTGTATCTTCAATCATGTTAAATGGTTCTTTAGTAGCTTCTTGCTCCTAGTAGTAAGGCCAGGAGCCCCGTTCGTAG